AGTACAGGCTGGCCTTGAACTCAGGGCGATCCTCTAGCCTCAGCCTCCTGAGTGCTGGCATGATAGGCATGTGTCACCTTGTCTTGCTGGAAATGTTTGTTTTCAAATGATGATTTTATCTTGAACCAATATTTTGAAGGTTTTAGTTTTGTAGCTTCTTTTCAAAGTTCAGAAATGTCTAAAAAGTTGTTAATATTATATTTCCTGCATGAGAGGTCCTGGTTGATAAAATTTATCAAAACACAAACTCCTGGGAAGCGGGTAGGAATTTCTTTGCTCCAGAACCTAGCGTATTTATCTGTTTACTAACTTCCACACAGGGTTATGGAACTCACCTGATGAATCACTTGAAAGAGTATCACATAAAACATGACATCCTGAACTTCCTCACGTATGCAGATGAATATGCAATTGGATACTTCAAGAAACAGGTCTGTTTCCTACCGGGCAATATTGCTCTGTCATTCATTTTAGTAAAATACATTTCAGGTAGCTTCCATCAAAATTGTTTTTCCCTTCAGTAGTTTCTGCTGTGAGGGCACACGTTTTTTTTTTTGGTACCGGGAATTGAACTCATGACCTTGCACTTGCCAGGCAGGTGCTGTGCCGCTGAGCCAAGTCCCCGGCCCTGCACACATTTATTTTGTAAGGCATGTGCCAGAAGTAAGCTTCCGACTGGATTGGAGAGTATAACTGAGTACTAGATAACTATTTGTAGCGTAAATGAATGCTTGTGATCTGTAACTAAAATATAGTCTGACATCTTCACATTCTCAGTGTGGTATTCTCAGGTAGAGAAATTCCCGTCCTGGGTGTGTAGAGCTTTCTGCACATAAGGGAAACGGATTCGGCCTCGGGAAAGTCTCCTTTCATAGCAGCAGGGGAGGTGGTGAAGCTTAGCAGCCTGGTTCTGCAGCACAGAGTCGGCTGCAAGCTTGGGTGCCTTGTCAGTGTTTCTTAGCAGGAGTTTCCACCTTCTGAAAGATTACTAAGATGATTCCTTGGCTGCATATAATTTTTCATAGTGATTTATAATTGCTAAAGATTATCTGTGAACTTTATTCCAGTGCTGGGAATTGAGTCCAGAGTCTTTTGGACAATAGGCAAGTGCTCTACCACTGAGCTACGCCCCCAGCTTTCCATTAAGTTTTCTGACTGCAAAAGTAATGTGTAGTCATTACAGAAATTTACGAGGTATAGCGGCACAGGCCTGTAATCTCAGCACTCACTAGGCGGAGGCAGGAGGATTATGAGTTTGTGGTCATCCTGAGCTATGTAGTGAGTGCAGACCGGCCTAAACCATAGAGCAGAGTGCATCTCAAAAAAACCAAAAACGAAAAACAAAATAAGCCATCTCAAACAGATGAAGAACCGAAGAAAACAAAACGTAAAAAAAGAAAAGAAAATTTTTGAAAATGTGATAAAACCCAAAGAAGGGAAAAAACTGCTTGTAAGTCTACAACTCAGAGAAATTTACTGTTAATGCTTTGTTTTTACATGTTTACTATTTTTTTTCTGTGTACACGTAAATGTTAAAATTGGCTCATACTATGTAGGTAGTTTAGTTACTTACCTTGTGCATGTAATAGATTATTTTTCATATAAGTTTCAATGGTTTGCTGTGATTTTACTGTATAAATAAACAGAAAACTTATTTAACTAATACCGCAATTTGGGATACTTAGATGTTATTTATAGTAATGAGGGTGTGTGTGTTTGTGTGCATGTGTTTGTGTGTTACCTTCACTGATGGTAATTTGTGTAGAGTAAATTTCTAGTAGAGTTATATTTCCAGAAAATCTTAAGGTTTCTATTACATATTTTAAATACAGAAACAATTTTTTTGTTTCTTTTTCCCTAGCTTTTACCACCCCCCGCAACCCCCACCCCTGTACCGGAATTGAACTCATGACCTTGCGCTTGCCAGGCAGGTGCTGTGCTGCTGAGCTAAATCTCCAGCCCCTTTGTTTTTTTTGTTTTTTTTTTTTTGCTTTTTTGGGGACAGGGTCTCACTATGTAGTTTAGGCTGGTCCCGAACTCACTATGTAGCTCAGGCTGGTCTTAAACTCACAGCGATCCTCCTGTATCAGGCTCCTGAGTGCTGGGATTACAGGTCTGCGCCACCACGCCGGGCCACAGAAACAATTTCTGTTCTCATCAGCAAAATATAAGGGGGCTCAGGAAGGCAGTTGATAGCTGAAAAAAATAACTTTTACTTCTTTCCCAGGTAACACATTATGTATTTTTTAATTTGTTTGCTTACTGTGAGATTTCACTTATTTTTCCATGTTTACAGGCTGTTTGTTTTTATCTACTTTTTTGCATTGCCAACTAGTTGTATTTTGCTTCTTTCCTACTGAAAAATATAGTTCTAAATTGATTTTTGAGAACTATTTATATTTAATGATTAATCATTCATGAAATTTGTTTTAATATTGCTTATAACTTTTTTATGTTTAATCTACAGAAATTTAAAGATTTATTACGTAAAATCTGTTAACTGCTTTTAAAAAATATATCTATCCTTCCATGGCTAAAAAGCTTTTCCTCTCTGATGGCAGAGAATTAATTCTATTTATTTTCTTCTAATTTGGGGGAATATATTTGTGGCTTTTGTGATGAAACTCATGTAAGAAATCCATACTGTGGATTGATCCCAGGCCTCTACACAGGCAGTCTACCACTCAGCTACAGCTCCAACCCTTCTTAATTTGTTTGGAGACAGTGTCTTGCTGGATTTCCCAGGTTGGCCTTAAACTTCTTATCCTGCTGCCTCAGCTTTCTGAGCAGCTGGGATTACAGGCAGGGCCGTTGTGCCTGGCAGATGTCAGGTTTTCTAGATTGTAGCTATGTTGCAAAGCATATGATGCTCTTTTGGGGAGAAGGAACACACTGGGGTTGAAACCCAGAGCCTTACACATGCCAGGTAAGTGCTCTACCTCCTCCCCAAGCCCCCGAACCACACCCTCAGCCTTTACCCACCGTTCCTACATGATTTATCTCTGGCCCTCTTAGAGGACAGTGGCAGTAATTACTTGCAAGGTAAATTTTGCTGAGAAGTGAGGCAGGAAACCACTGGTGATAATTCTCAAGCCTAAGTAATTTTCTGCAAATAACTGAAATAGTCACTTCAGGGAAAATTTCATTTAAATCATAAATAGATGGTTTATAATTCTGAATATATACCCCATAGCACTCTTGAAGTGTGTAAATCAGTAACATCGATCTAAATTTTAAAAGAAAGCAGTGTCTTCTGTTGCAAAGCATTGACTGTCACTGTAACAATGATGCATTGGGATGGTCTAGAAGGTTTTTTTTTTTCTTTGTCTGATAAAAAGAGGTTTCATTTCTTCAATGCCAAGGTTCTAATTGCTGGTGTTTGTTTGTTTGTTGTTACGGTATTATGGATTGAACCCACGGCCTTTGCACTGAAGTATGTTCCCAGTTCCTTTTATTCTTTATTTTGAGATAAAGTCTAGCTAAGTTGGACTTTTCATTCTCCTGCCTCAGCCTCCCAGTGTGGGGATTATAGGCATGTACTATCATGCTTGACTCCTAATTGCTGCATTTTTTGGTAAGCTTTCTTTTAAAATTTAGATCAATGTTACTGATTTATTAAGAATCCTAGATTACCCTCCCACTCTGGGGGGATTTATATCAATCATTTACTTTGTAATTCAATGCAAAATTAGCCCTATTTTTTTTTTTTTAATACCCGTTTCCTTTTAAACTTGTAAATGTATATTTTATTAGGGTTATTTTTAAAAGTGTTGTCTAACTTCCTATTTGCACTGTTTAGTTTCTGTTGCTTTTGAACTTCATGGTTGGTTTTTAAGCGAATCTTCTCCAAAACAGCATGACCAGACCTTGAAAGGGATGTATCTTGGTTCCTGCCATGCCTGGCGCTCAGTGTATATTTGATACCTGATGTCCGCCTAAATGACTTGATTTGCTTTCTAGGGTTTCTCCAAAGAAATTAAAATACCTAAAACCAAATATGTTGGCTACATCAAGGATTATGAAGGAGCCACTTTAATGGGATGTGAGCTAAACCCACGGATTCCATACACAGAATTTTCTGTCATCATTAAAAAGCAGAAGGAGGTAAGCAGGTCTCCTTGTGTTTACTCATGAGCCTTGTATCCAGGCCAGCCTTAGTTGAGGTGGGCAACATTTCAGTGAGTTCTGTGTGTATGGGCCTGTTAGATGGCATGATCTTAGTTTGATATGGGTCAGCTGTCTCCTTTCTAGACCACAATTCTTAAGTGGGTTAGTACTTGTTAAATTGGTGTAAAATTCAAAATATGTAGAAGACAATCCTACATAGTCCTCCTACATAATCCACAGTCCTCCTTCTCAGTCTTATCTCTCTACTTTGATGCCAAAGTAATTCTCCACAGGCCCTTCTTGGTGCTTTAACCCCCACGGCGTCTGCATCCATCACCCACCTCCGTGGTCCAGCACACCTGTACATCAGACCGTCTCAGCCTCTTTTCTAGTTCTTCTTCCTTTCAACTTCTCTAGCACTGATTTGACGTACCAGTTTGTGTTTTAATTTGTTACGGTACATAGGCATTTATCTTCACGTGTATTGACCTCTCCTTTTGCACTGCACGTTCTGAAGACTTATCCCTCTAAGTATTAGTGGTTTGTTATCTTTTTTTTTTTTTTTTTTTACACCGGGAATTGAACTCAGAACCTTGTGCTTGCCAGGCAGGCACTGTGCCACTGAGCTATATCCCCGGCCAGTGGTTTGTTATCTAATATTAAAGTGGCACCTTTTATGCATACGAACTAAATGAGAGTCAGTAAATGGAAGGGTTGATAGATTTGAGTGCACATGGTAGTAATTTTAAATTTCTCTAAGGAAGAAGAACAACAAAAACCATGAAAAGCGTGTAACCATGGAGCCCACAAAGGCCGTTTATTACATGAATGGACTCTGTGTCTTAAGCCCAGGCGCACCTCCTGCTCCCTTTGCTTTGCTGGGGTTTGCAGCTGTGTCATCTCACATCAATTCCGCTCAGTACTTCTGTTATTCATGGCAGAGCACTTTCCCCTAACAAATCACTGAAGAAAGGCGTCTGCTTAAACCCAGCTTTGTTTTCTGGTTTCTGTCCTTAATCCCAGCTCTTAGTTCCTTGTCAGGCTTTCCCCGAGCAGCAGCCGTCAAGCCTTTTACGCGGTGTCTGGTGCACAGCAGTTACTTGCTAAGTATTTTTCTTTTATTTAAACCGCCTTAAACTGGTTTTTACGTTTCTGTAGAAGGGCGCAAAAGGCATTCTTTTTTAAATTAGAAAATAAAAGCAGCTTTTTTTGTTTCTTGGTCAGAGATGTCATTGTGGGAGCATATTCTGAAGGGGCCTCTGGGAAGAGTTAATAAAGCACAACAGGGCCCTCTCCCCTGTCTCCGCCCGAGGGGCTGGCTTTCCTCATTGTTCCCTTTGGGGCTTAATGAGCAGATCTGGCTTCAGCGGCACATTGTTCCGCGTTAGAGGCTGCTGGCCAACTAAAGCCATCACTGCTCTGTCAGCTGCTCTTTCCCCCACCCTCTGCCCAGCAGCAGCAGGCCCCCCCCCCCCCGCCCCCGCCGGGTTAGCTGAGAGCAGGATTCCCTTGGCAGAGGCTGCACATTTTACACGATCTGTTGGCCCTCCCTGCCCACAGGGAAAAGCCAGCAGCGCAGAGCTCTTTTAGATGGCTTACAAAGCAGCCAACTTTTTAGAAGACCTCTCCCTCCTGCTCCTTTCCTCTTGGCTGCCCCACCCCCCTTCCTCTCACACATGCAGTTGAATGGAAGTTGGAGGTCTGCAGCTGTGAGCCTGGTTCTCGCACTTAAAAGAGACCTGCAGGCCAGGTGCGGTGGTGCGGTCTTGGAAGCCCAGTACTCGGAGTCTGAGGCAGGAGGACTGCAAGTTCAAGCTTGGTTTGCAGAAGTTACTTAGTAAAACCCGATCTCAAAATTAAAAATAAAGGCTGGGGATATAGCTCAGTGTGGAAGCACTGGGTTCAATGCAAGAAAGAAAAGAAAAGGAAAGAAAGAAGGAAAGAAAAAAAGAGAAAGAGGAAGGGAGAAAGGGAGAAGGAAAAGAAAATCTGAGGTCACCGAAACAGTATATTTGGATGCACATGCAGATTGAGTACCCTTATCCAACACGCCTGTGTTCTGCGGTCTTTCAGAGTTTGCAGTGTTTGCGTTGACTTTACCCACCTGGCACCCCTAATCGGAAATAGTGTAACACCCGAAACTTCTAACTTGTAAAAAACCCCCTGAGTAAGGAAAGGAGTGGAAATGGTAGAAATCAGACAGTATATATTGAGGATTTTCTGTGCCCCTAGAAGCCGCGAGAGCAGGGTGAGTTGAAGTTGTCATCAGTGCAGGTGGGAGAGGAAGTTGGGCAGTGGAGGCCTAGGCATTACTCTCCGAGTTAGACTCCCTGGGAAGGGTGGGACCCTCAGGAGCCTAGCTCACAGGAGATGGCTGTGTGAGAGGCCTGGAAGTTCGGAACCAGACGGTCTTGTGCTGGAATGAGAATGAGCGAAGACTCGGGCCACTGTAAGTAGATTGATGAGCACATGAGTCCGCGAGCTCACTGGGCACGTGGATGAAGAAAGGCAGGATTGGAAAAGTGGATTGGCTATAAGTAGGCAGGTGTGTGCGGGGAGGACACATTTGTACAGAGCAGCGTGGGGGTGGTAATTCTTAAATCTTAATCTCCCTGTGAGACCACAGAGGTTGCAGTTTGGAGGAGCCAAAGTAAGGATGAGGAAAATGAATGCTTTTCGTTTGTTTCTTTTGTAAGGAGCCATACTAAAACTTAGAGGCACAAAAGAGAGGGGAACCTTTCCCCCTTCCTGATCTTTGGGGAGATCGTAAAACTGACAGCAGGAGGTACTAGAACTGAAACATAGATTGGAGGACGGGAAGATGAGGCTTTCATTTGGAAGGTGTTGTTTTGAGGTTGTTGAGTGCAGACATTTTTTAGGGAGGTGAAGATCAGACACTGGAACACAGAATGATCCGTTGGAGGAGCAAAATACTTAGGAAGCTCCGCACTTCCTTCGGCTCACTTTCAGGAGCCCACAATTTTCAAGATGCTACATGAGGTGTGTGAGAGCCGGCTGTAACTATTCCAGGGTTTTGGAACTGTCTGTGGCTTATTCATCTGCCCCTCTAGTCTGAAAGGAACAATTCTTAGTAATGGGGTACAAAAAGGTTCTGTTTAGTAGTGACAGTGCTCAGGGCTGCTTTCTGGTTAGTTCCCGCAAAGGTTCCTCAGAGAACCGGGTCAAGATAATGGGTTCTTATCCTAAATATGACAGGTGGGCATGAGGGGCAGTGTGTTCTTTCAGCATTGCCTTTTCTGGACAGCAGGGACGAGTTATTTGAAGATGGTTGTGTGAACGTCACTTCATGGGCGTGGTGCAAAACAGTGTTTTTATTCCTTGCCTGTTAAATAATGTTCACTTTTCTTCCCTTTTTGTTTAATGAAAAAAGGACTTAACTTTGTTAGGAAGATGATTCCTTAAGTTGACTGACTTGACCTGTATCATCACATGGACTTCATTCACTAAACAATTTTTTTTCCCTCTGCTTTCCAGATAATTAAAAAGCTGATAGAAAGAAAACAGGCCCAGATTCGAAAAGTCTATCCTGGACTTTCATGTTTTAAAGATGGAGTTCGACAGATTCCTATAGAAAGCATTCCTGGAATTAGTATGTATAGACCTTTTTATAAAAGCAAAATCTTTCGGTAGTGTCATAAGTTGTGTGTGAAACAATTTCTACAGTGCGTAGTCTGAAAAGTGGTATTGCCCTTCCTGTTTACATTTGTGCTGGTTCTAGTCTCTTGAAAAGTCAGCAAATACTTTCCTTCTACTGTCTTTTCTCCTCCTCCCACTTCAAACAAACCAGAGGGTATCCTCTTCTTTTAGCAGTTAACACCTACCATTTAGTAAGAGCATGGTGTTTGTAACTACCCATATGTAACATTGAAAGTAGGGAAATCCAGTGTTTACAAATGGGTAAACTGAGTCTCAGAATGGCTCTGTCCTTTAATGCTAAGTGTCACCTAGTCAGTAATGAAGCAGTCCAATTTCGATCTCCTTCAAACATCCTACAGTTTGTACTGTATCTTGCTGTCTTCTTTGTCACCTACACAGATCTGTAATTGCCTTGTTTCCTCAAACTTTGATTAAAATCATTTACTGTGTGTGATGGAAGTCGTACAGTTTGTTTGAAGTTCCTCATTTTATGCTAGTTCCCCTAAGACTTTTTTTTGTCTGTGTGTTAGAGATGAGTTGTATTGGGTTAAGCCAGTTGGGTATTTTTACACATCAAAAAGCCATTGAGTATCATTTGGCCATTTTATTTGGTTCAAATCGAGGTTCTTATAGAACATTGAAGATTTAATAAGCAAAACAAAATGAAGCAAATGGAAATTCTCCAGAAAAAAAATGTTAACTTTCGCAAGATAAATTATTATATCTATTCTAGAGCAGATCTTATTTTTACTGTTAAAAGCAGAAATTTCACGTCCTTATGTTGTCCTTAGTAGCGATTAGGAGCCTCATAGCCAGCTACCATATCATTTAGTGCCTGTTTGTGTCAGGTATTCTTTTCTCTTTTATAGATATGAGCTAATCCCAAAGGGGATAGTATCACTTACTTTTTAGAGTCTGTTTTATAGCTTGATGAACAGAGACAAAGCTTATGTAATTTATTTAGGGTAAAGTTAGTTTTAAAGAGAGAGCAGGAAATCAAATTCAGATCTGTCAGCCCTCTACACTAAACCATCCTGAATTACAAGTAGTAACCTGGCCAAATAAAATAGAGACCGGAAGAGAGTTTGCGCTAACTTACAATAACAGCTTGACTCTTTCATGTGGTGGTTAGAAAATAATTGGACTTACTGCTTAAAAATCTAATACTGGATTATTATTGATGCTTTCTTCTGAAAGGTTGGAGTTCATGCTTTAAAAAAACACTATAGGGCAGTTTTGTAAGTCTGGGGAATGTGCATTGTGAGCTATATAAAGAAGTAAATAAATGCCATTAGCTTTAGTCTGTTTCCAAAAATAGACTTATTGAGGCATGGCTATAATTTATGACTCTTTTGGTAAGTATTAAGTGTGTTATTCTCTTGACCAAAAGCAGTTCTCATTTAGTGTTTAATTTTGTTGACATATAGGAGAGACAGGCTGGAAACCGAGTGGAAAAGACAAAAGGTAAGTAGAGGGGCAAGAGGATGTTAATGGAAGTGATTTTTTTTCCCCTACCAGCAACTTAGAGAAAAAGGGCAGACCGATTGTAATCAGTAATACAGCAGTTGGTGGGTTTCAATTTTCATAAAACGTTCTGGAATGGTTCCAATTTTAGGTTTTTGTCAGGATGAATTGAACCATAATCAGCTGGGAAGAGGGTGAAAACTAATCCTTGCTGCTTGTTGTTTATTCTTTTCCTTTCAAGTAAAGAGCCCAAAGACCCTGACCAGCTTTACAGCACATTGAAGAGCATCCTCCAGCAGGTGAAGGTGGGTGTTGTCTTTGTTCCCTCGATGCAAATATTTTGAAATGATTTCCCACATTAATTTCTATATTAGATACCTTACTTTTTTCTTTACCCAAGAGCCATCAGAGCGCTTGGCCCTTCATGGAACCTGTGAAGAGAACAGAAGCTCCGGGATATTATGAAGTGATAAGGTTCCCCATGGGTAATGCCATTAAAATTTTCTAAGTATGCATTTAAAATTCTCTGGATGGCAGTGTGGGGGACAAATGGTTGTTGAAGTTGATCTGCAGTGCTCTCTGGTAGGGTGGGAAGTATATGATGGGTGGGGGGATTCCTTGTGTCTTTGGAAGCGCAGTGATTGTCAGAGCAGTGACAGAGGAGAAGCGGGTGACTCTGTTCATTACAGACATTCCACAGCTGTCTTCTACGGGGCATGCACGCTCCACACACTCCGCACACCCGGCTCAGGAAGTCTAGGTGGGGAACTGAACTGCGGATAGTGCTGGATATAGGAGTTGGTTGTTCGGACATAATCTTGTTTATAATCTACCTACTTTTTTGCAAATGGAAAAATACCAGGTTTTGTCCTTTTTATATGTTTGAGTATATTGTAAATGGCTATTTCTTTTGAGCATTTTTTTAGATAATATGAAAGAGGATAGATTAATCTGCTTGACTGCTTTACTTTCAGTGGAAGAAATTGTAGTTAGTGTAATTCTTGGTGTTCATGCTTTTGGTGGATGCTATTATGTCAATGTTTATTATTATTATTATTATTACTATTATTTGTGTGTGTGTGTCTGTGTGTGTTGGTAGTGGGGGTTGAACCCAAGGCCTTTGCCCTGAACTACATTCCCAGCACCACCCCCACTTTTGTCTTTTTGAGACAGGGTCTCACTCTGCAGTTCAGGGTGGCCTTGAATTCACTTTGTAGCCCAGGCTGGCCTCGAACTCACAGCAATCCTCCTGCCTCAGCCTCCTGAGTGCTGGGATTACAGGCATGGACCACCATGCCCAGCCTCCATCTCTTTTAATATTTTATTTTGAGATAGGGTCTTGCTAAGTCACCATGTTGTCCGGGCTGGGTTTGAGGTTAATGCTTACTATTTAAGCTTTGTCCTCATCCAAAAACAAAAAAAAAAAGATGCTTTCAGAAATGTAGAATTGCAGAATTTGATGCTGTGACCAAGCTACAACACAGAAGTGATTAATTGAATCGAGATCCCCAAATTCAATCAGTTTGGCCACATACAGATGACAAGTAGCTGACATGAGAGGCAGAGTCTTCTGTTCCTTTTCTACTTGTAATCTGTTCCAAAATGTGGAGGGAAGGATGAAAGGGATCTACTTGCTTCTCAGTGGTTGGGGTTTTTTACCAGTGTTTCCTATGGCTTTAATTGTTCACGTTGTATATAATTACAGTCATGATTTAAATAGCTTCTCTGCATTCTGTATCTATATGCTTTTCTTTCCGTCTTCTTTCTGCCTTGCTACTATATATTGTGCAAGAAAAGGAGGACTAACTGAACTCAGAATTCTGCAAGGGTGATTTGTGACTCAATGTCTATCATATGAAAAATACGTTCAAATTCTTTGTGTCCATTTCCTACCTTAAGTGGGTTTTTTAGATGTTGATCCTCTGCGACATCTTAACATCTTTTTTGGTATCACTGATCCTTGTCTCTGCCTCTTTGGGGAAATCCTCATGGGAAGATACTGACTTTTTGGAGAGAATACTTCCTTTTTAGCTCCTGTTGATATCCACTGTAAAGACCTGCAGTGGGAGTTCTAGTGGATCCTGTCTGTTACAAACTACTCATTGCATGAGAAAGGTGTGAGCCTCTGCAGTTGTATGCCAGCTATCTGTATAGCTGAGTGTGCTTGAGGAGAAAATGGACCCTTTTGAGCAAGGCCATTGATGACTAAGATATGTCCCAGACAAAGTTAATTAAAACAAAGTTGCTCTATGGTGGACCAGAAATTGTTTTTCTTGGATGCCCTGAGATGCTGAGCAAATTGTGTAGTCTTGCCTGTAAGGTGGTCATGTATTTGAAGACAAGACTGACAAGTCAATAATTTCACATTTTCCTATTAATGCTTTCTTGGATTTTTCTAAAAATATTTCCTTTGTTTTCCCCATGTTCTGAATACTCTTTTCTCTCAAACGGATGGAGTTGTACAGTGGACATTGCCTGAGAGTGGTCAAACCAACTGTGACTTCTTTCCTGGGGCTTGGTGGACAGGGTTTTCATTTTTCCTAGAATTCACAGGCTGGGAGGGTTGGGGGAGTGAAAGACTTTAATGGTGTCTTTATTTGGTGGCACCAATATTTCGTCATGTTTTTAACCCTTGCCATTTCTTCAGTTGAAAGAATTTAAGAAGGCAAGAAGAAGAAAGCAGCTGTTTATGGCTTTAGGATAGAAAGGAAATACAGAAAGGAAGTATTTAGCATTGATAATGATCTGTGAAGGTCCAATCACCTCTGTTACTCTTCTTTTGTTTCTGTCCTTCCACCCTTGCACATAAAAACCTTCTATACCAACTTCTTTCTGTCAAGTTTCATGCATTTATTCCCTTTTTTTTGGCTATGTGTTTCTTTTAAAACATTATACACTACCATGGCTTTTCTCACAATACCCTGCTGTGTCCTGCAGGGTGTACTTTTATCTTTTGTTTTCCCTCTTTACTTAACCCAAGCTTGCTCTGCAGAGCCAGTTTCTCCCTCACTTTTCACTTTTACTTTGTCCAACAAACTTTACCACAAAAAACATTATATTGGAAAATATGTGTGTGTGTATATATATATATATATATACATATATAAAATTTTTTGTTTTATCTCCTCTCCCCCCTCCCCCAGTGCTAGGGATTGAACTCATGGCCTTTGCACCAAGCTACACCCCCCAGTTCATTTTATTTTTTATTTTGAGATAAGTTCTCACTAAGTTGTCCAGTCCCCTTTCTCTCAATCTCTCAAGTAGCGGAGAATACAGGTACGTGTACCACCGTGCCTGGCTAGGGCAGCATATCTTATGTGGTAGGCTTTTAGTGGAAGGAATGTGAACACCTAATTTTACTTGGAGTGACTATTTCATCGCTTTTCCTCTTAAGTGAGAGAACATCCTGTTGTGTTCAGTCACACTTGGGTGAGATATTTAGTGGAGAATTTAGTCTTTTTTTTTTTAAATCTTAGCACTTTTAGACACCCCGCTTTGCCCCAGAGGGCTCCAAACTGTGTGTCAACTAGAGAAGAAAAATTGAAAGTTGAACTTATAGATGTAATGATACACACTTTTTCAGAGATAGGACTTAACAATAAGCAGAACAAGATTTTTCCATGTTTCCTTTGTGTTTGTTGTGGATTTAGGATTTTACTTTTGTACTTTTTAAATTATGGATTTAGAATATTGATGTAAATGAATTTCTTCCCATTGTGCATAAATGTACTTATCTTATTGCATGATAATGCCACTCTATTTGGTTGTAAATTTCTTTTCCTCTGCACAGTGTAACAGCAGAGTGGGAATTTGGGGTATTGGTACTCAGAATGTTTCTTTAGCCATTTTGACTTATTTTTCCCATGCATAGTTGCTGTAATTATATTTCTTAAATGATTGATCCAGACTTAAAAGACAGCTGAGCACCCACCAGCATATTTTAGCATCTTCTGATTTGCACAGAATTCTTTAAATTGATCTTGAGAATTGAGGAAACCCCATTTGCAGTCTTAAAAGCTTAGATGAGGTACTGTTCTCATTTTTAGAATGATACAACCTGAAGTGTGTAGATATATGGGGAATATATTTTCTACAAGTCTCACAGGCTTACTTGCTTTAGAAAAAAAATAGGTTGCTAGTTTCTCTACTTTATTCCTATATACAACACCAAAACAACTGTGCATTTAGTGAAACAAACTCAATCTGATTGTTTGAAGTAATTAAATGTTTCAACACAAACACTCCACCTGCTCTGCTCCGTGTAGATAGGGCCTCTTCTGTGCAATTCTGAATGAATAGCTAACATTAGTCAGGTTTTCAAACGTACTATTGCGAATCTACTTAGCTTCCTTGTGCTCAACAGAGGATTGGACCAGATGAAATCAGTGGTTTCTTTAATATTAAAATGGCTGTGATTTTACATTAAAAACCCTCTCAAAAGACTGAACATAAGATTTAAAAACTGTTTTCCTGGATGAGAATTACTTATATGAAAGGCACTGGGATGATAAAAATGTAATCAAACCAACAGCATAGATTTCCTTTTGTCTTGTTCTTGTCACCCAGCGTTTAAAGGGAGTCAAAGATTGCTAATACATTCTTTTTCCTGTGCAGATCTGAAAACCATGAGCGAACGCCTCAAGAATAGGTACTACGTGTCTAAGAAATTATTCATGGCTGATTTACAGCGAGTCTTTACCAATTGCAAAGAGTACAACCCCCCAGAGAGTGAATACTACAAATGTGCCAATATCCTGGAGAAATTCTTCTTCAGTAAAATTAAGGAAGCTGGATTAATTGACAAGTGATTTCTCTTCCCCTGGCTTCTTAGAAACTCATCAGTGTGCCTAAAGCAAGGTGGTTTAGTTTTTTAAAAAGAATTGGACATAATGTGTTGAAGAGACTTGTAATAAGTAGCACTTTTGAAAAACAAACAACCTCCTTTTAGCTTTTCAGATATGTATTTAAATTGAAGTCATAGAACATTTTTATTTTATCGAATAGATTTTAATCTATTTACTACTATTATGAAATTTTCTATGGCATGTCCATTAGCCAACTAGCCCATGACAGATGATCAGGGGTTTCCTCAAAACCTGTATGTGAGCAAATTGCACATAGTATGAAGATTTGGGGGAATCTAGAAAATTTTCAGACCATGAATGTTTCCATTTTTTTCTAATGGAATGTGAGAGTTTATTTTTATTTTATTCTGAAGGACTTTAAGGAAGGGATACATGATTAAAAAAAAAAAACCGTGAAAAGTGAAATATGTGATGTTTGAAGTCTTCTTGTAGACTTTTTATGTATATTTTTAAAACACTCATCCAGATGAGGTGCTTTGAGCAGTTCTGAAAAATGCAGTTCCACAAAAGCAACTGCTTTGATTCCTAAGGAAGAGATTCTAAATAATGCAAACTTTTTATAAATCTGAGGTTTTGATAATTTGTCTACCTACAACAAGCTTGTGAGTGCATAACCACTATTTCTACACAAATGTGTGATACTATATGTGACTTTGCTTATGCAGGCCATAAGTTCCAAAGGGTAATTTCCCAGGCCATAAAGGCATAAACTTGAAAACACTTGAAATTGAACCAACAAGCTTTAATAGGAAAAGATGTACAGTCTATGTATGTATCAATCTGGTGAATCCTTATTCTAATAAATGAGGATTTTTTTTCTGTGATACACACAACCCTATCAGAAATGTATATGTAAACCTTTTTATCCTTTTGCATCTCCAGAATTTTTATTGCCTAAGGTGAATTAAATTCCCACCAAGGTTTGCTGTCAGTATTTTAACACCTGCATTGCTATATTAGGTCCAGGGTTACATCCTACTAAATCCTTCAAACAACCTTATTAATTAACCTGTTATGGGATTCCAGCTTAGTGCTTGGGATGATATCCTGATTACACTACATAGGAAAGTGGGACATCAGTCATCGCAACTCTGGGAAAACAAATACACAACCATATGGACAGTCTCGACACTAATTTTTATGATGCAAATTTATAAACTGATTTTTGTAAAAGATGAAGTCTTAAAAATGTATTTAACTTATGTTTTGTATCCGCATACATTAAAATGGGTCATTAGTAGTTACTAAAAAGTTGCCACAGATAATCTGCATGAAGGAAGATACCTGCATGTGGCTGTTAAGTTGGAAGTGTTGCTTTTGATCTGTAAGACATGTTCAGAATGCTCACACTGAAAAACGCCTCTTTTTAAGTACAGGAAACCACCTTGAGTGGTGTCTAGATTTCTAATGAAGAATGATGATACAGTTTCAGTTAAGTGTCTGGACTGGTATTAAACAAGAGCTTTGTAGCAGGTTTGCTGAAGCATCTGTCCAGCTTGGAATCCTGTGAAAGTTTGTTATTTTCTGGATAGACATTCTTATAGAGTATTGTCTTTAAAATCAGATTGTCTCTTCTATATTGAAAGCATTTTTATGTTTTCTAATTTAAAAATTAATATTTTCTTATAGATATTGTGCAATAAAGCTGAAGTAGGATGTGTGGTTTTTGCAAATGCTTTAACAGCTGATAAAAATTTTACATTTGTAAAATTAATATATTGTACTGGTACAAAATAGTTTTAAATTATATTTTAAAAAGCTCCCAATCTGGTGTTGTGTTTTCTTCTTTTAACATCCTGAGGTTAACAGGAAAATACATGAACTGGTATGACCATTGGTGGTGTCCTTAACCCTTAGCTCTTAAACTTTGCTGAAGATGTTTGGAATTGTTGCATTTGTGGGAAGTTTCATAAAAAAACATATCTATTAGATTTTCAACAGGGGAGACATTTACTTGATCACTACATCTTGTACACTGTCATCCCCTAAACAGTAACAAAAATTCATCTACATAAGTGTTATTGGCTTAAAAATCAAAGGCTTTTAAATAGTTTTTTTTTCCTTGCATCTGTGAAATAAAAGCATTAAGCTAAATTTTAAATACTGCCTATGTGAGCTGCTAACATTACCCAAAATGCTATCTGTAGGAAATACATATTTTGTTGGGAGTTACAAAGGATTCCTCTTACTGATATCTGAACACAGAGGGGATAAAAATAAGGCATATGATGGCTAAGCTATCATCTTTATTACTAATAAAATGGATAATGAAGAATGTTGCTGCCTTAGTTTTGTACCAGCAGGAGCTTTGGACCACTGCTGACTTTCCCCATGGGGCAGGGCCTTTGCTATTAAGCTTAGAGCAGTGGTGTTCAATGAAGTAAACAGAACATACTCAAAGGAGGTGAGGGAACAATCATAAGCACCACAAAATGTTCCCTTTAGTGTAATTTATAAATATTTATGGCCTGGTTTCTTTATGAGAACATTGTAGAAAAAGGAAACTAACAAAAACTGTCTTAATTACTTTTCTCTTGTTACTAAGACAAAATACTCAACACCCAAAGTTAAAGGAGGAAAGGTCTATTTAGTACAGTTTGTGACGGTTTCAGTCCCTAATTGGCTGGCTCCAAGGAAGGGTGGTTTCACACATTACCCTGTCAGGGACACACTATCTGACTTACCAGGCCTTCTTTTGAAACCTGGGTGGAAGACTTCCTGACCCCACAGCTCTTATTCTTCATGCACCTAAAAGGGGCACCACATGTATGATGCCAAGGTCTGCTGCCAGCTGAAGTAGCCAGGCTTCTTTCTCTCAGCTTATAGGGTCAAGTGCCTGGATCGCTGAGCACTCTGAATCCAGTTCTGAATAACAAATTGTCTAAGTGGCCACCATTCTGGAACAAGATACACTTTCTTCTTAAAGCAAAGTCTTTCATTTTTGCAATTTTGAGGCTGCAAAGGGTGGAGTCTTTTTTTTTTTTTTTTTTTTTTGATGTCCTCAGCCTATCTTTTCTATTCTGTTCCTTCTCAGCAATCAAGATCTCATCTGCTCTTGCAGTCCACAGCTTTACTGGAGCTTCCTTTCTGGCCAAACTCACATTTTCAGTCATTCTACTGGCCTCATTGCTTTTGATTCTCAACATAAATTTGGCTAAAAGTCCCCAACAGCAGCCATGCCAGAGCCTCAATATTAGACTGTCTTGACATTTCTTTGGCAAGATTAATTAGTCTGCCACCTTTAATCTTAGTCTCAGGCAAACTTCCTGCCAAGGCATAACACACATCATCTGGAGTCTAACAGCCAAGGTAGTCCTTCCCAGCAGAAACCTCCGAAGCCTGGTCTTTACTGGCAGGATTTCCTGTCAGCTCTGACCAGAATCTCCCGTACAGTAAAGCCTAAGGAGTTCCAGTTCTACTCTTTTAGCTGACATCTCTGAACCCTCCAAACTTCCCATGAGCCATTCTCGAAGACTCCTGAACCACAGGGTCAGGTATATTACAGCAAGGACTACACTTGTCTGATACCAAATTCTGTGTTAGTTACTTTTCTCTTGTTGCTGAGACAAAATACCCAACAACCCAAGTTAAAGGAGGAAAGGTTTATTTATCATAGTTTGTGGAGGCTTCCATCTGTAATTGGCTGGCTTAGAGAGAGATGGAGGGAGGGAGGGAGGGAGGGATGCCTCTTTCAGTCCCTTATATTGGATGCAGGCCACCTGCTCTAGGGCAGGTGTCACAGAGCCTTAATCCCAGCATTGGACCATGAATCAATCACACACTGTAGATTCAGCCACCTCCAAAAAAACCCTATGACCTTGTGAGGCTTTGTGGGGGCATCTAGGCATACGATGACATAATGATGACAAAGGCAGATGTTATCTTTGGGTTTATTAAAGCAAACGATGTATAATTTATTTGTATGTTTGAAATTCAACATGGGTAAATCTCAACAGTTAGAAGTTAGCTGCAAAAAGGTATGTATAATATGGTCCATGCAAAATGTTAAAGCACAGCATATAAGAATACAGACACATTAAAAAATATATAAACTGCTTTAGGATAATTGTTGACTAAGAATTAAGGGTGAGGATAAGAAGAGAATCTATGAAGTAAAGAAGGTATCTATAATGTAAGACAGTCAATGATTTAGTATAGGAATTAGCAAACTCTTGATAAAGGGCCAGGAAATAAGTAATTGTAGACTTTGCTGCCCAAGAGGCAAAACTCAGGATTTTATGTACTTTATTTGGGTTCAAAATTAGTATACCCTATCAGAATTGATTCCAAACTTTTATTCAACTATTTAAAAACTATCAGTTTGTAGACCATCCAAAAATAGGCAATATACTAGATTTGGATTATAGGCTACAATTTGCCTTTACTGGCTTTGAGCAGTATTGTCTCATCAGATTTTTTCCTTTTATTTGTTGTATATAACTTGACATTTTATTTCCATCACAGTACTTCAAAAACTGTCTTTTTTTCTGCGTAAGCCACAGAAGCAGAAGGTAGAATCAGTAATAATGCAGATAGAATTAAGACAGAAAAATATGGCAACTACAGTACTTGAACAGCAAAAGTAACAGTTCTGCCAATGTAATAGACATCACTGGCTCACCTCACGTTGCTCCAGGTAATCTTCACATCTTATTTCTCAAGAACAGGGTACTGTAGAATCACTTAATGAGACATTGGTTCTCAGTGAGGAAATTCTCTATGAAAACTAAAAGAGGATTAGTGATGTAGCTCAGTGGCAGAGGGATTGCCTAGCAGGGATGAGGCCTATCCTCAGCACCAAAAACACCAAAAATTCCCCCGAACTCCCAAAAACTCGCAGCCTCAGCTGTCTTCCAATACCACATAAGGATCTAAAGTACATAATAAGGCTCTTTGGAAAAAAAACCTAAACAAGAAGAAATGATTGCAACACCACCACAACAAAACCATTTAAAAGTCATATCAGATTTCCTTTACAAATAACCAAATTATTAAGAGTTCTTTCTTACTATCTTTTTGTTGTTGGGGATCACAACCAGGGCCTCCCACATGCTAAGCACACAATTATCACGGAGCTATACCCTCAGCTATTACAGAGATCCAATGTCATTTGACCGTAGGAAAACGAAAGAAGTTCAGTTATTTCAAAATGTACAAGACAGACCTCTCAAGTTATCAATACTTCTGCAAAGCACCTTTCCATACTGCCACAGGTGAGAATGAACTTCAGGTTTCCAACACACATGCAAAGGCTGTGATTCTGTGGTCACCATGTTTTCTGGTGATGGAAATGTTCTGCATTTGCAGCCCACAATATGGTAACCATTAGCCAAATGTACTGATACTGAAAAACTGAGCTTTTCGTTTTTTGATTTGAGGCATAGTCTCACTATGTAGTTTAGGCTGGCCTTCAACTTGTTATGTACACCAACTGGCCTTGATGGTTAGTAGTACCATTATCTTAGTAATTGTGTGTGTGTGTGTATAATTTTTTCCCTTCCTTCTTTTCTTCTTTCCTTAGCAATTTCTTTCCCTTTCACAATATCTATTGCACCTTTTGGATTTTATTTACTCATCCAGTTTCTTATACTAGGGAGACAATATGACGTTTACACATGTGGGTCTGATTTATTTTACTAAATGAATATAGCCATAAATACAATTTAAAGTTCAGGCTGGGCTACATAGGGAGTTCAAGGCCAACTTGGGTGACATAGTGAGACTCTGTTTTAAAAAACAAAAACAAACATCCCCCCTCCCCCCAAGAACAACCACCTCAGGTCAGGTAAGAGTAGAAATTATTTTTGGTGCTGGGGATTAAGTCTAGGGTGTCATGTGTGCGCTGTTAGCACCATATCACTGAACTACGTCCTCAGCCTGAAATTAGAACTGGTTGATCAGAGAGCTGGAGACATGAAAAGGTGGAAGGGAGAACTGTTAGGCTGGACGCCAGCAGTTTCTTGTTAGGGAGTACAGAGCATGTGAAGCGGGAGGGGAGAGGAAATGTTCAAGGATGAGAGCAGTGAAGGCTAAACAGACAGCCAGATAGATACTCTGATATTTAAAGAACAGAAGGAGAACACAAGCTTTATCTTACACACATTTTATTCTTCTTTAAAAATGAACCAACTATAGCGATTTACAAGTTTAAAGAGGTGCATACAAGTGTACATGTCAAACATGAATTGAACTAATGTCTTCTCATTGGCTGATCAAAAACAGAGAAAAGCTCTTAGTATTCATATATTTAACATTTGAGGTTTTTGCCGAAGTAAGGAGCTCTGAGAGTCCATGACATGTTAATGTATGGTTTTTTCAAGGTGCAATCTGAACATTTACTCAGGGACCATAACTATTCCCTCAACTGGATTATAAGCCTGACCAGCCACTGTTTCTCTGATTGTGACTTGTAAACTTTTTATCTGAGGAATCAAATACAACAGTAGTATAAGCGATCCATAAACTTAGGGTCTACCTTCTAAGAATGTCAAAGATTTGTTTTACTCAAAAATTATATAAGGATTTACAAAAGATCTCCATCCTAGTTTTAAAAAACATTACTCTAGTATCCCACACTTAAGGGAAAAATAAAAGATGCCAGAAAATTATATAATTTCTAAAATGTTGGTATATTTTGAGTAAAATCAAAGGGTTTAGGCAGTATAAAGAAATCAAACAATTACAAAGTATGGTTCTAAAGAAATGTTCCGGATTTAGGGTCCTGCTAAGAGAATATTCTATGGCAATAGTTCCACCTACTTGTGCACTATCTTACAGATTCTCTATTGGAGCAACAGAAAAGGAAGTAGGATACATTTAAGCAGCATCCAAAAAGAGATTTACTGTATTTGCTTTATACTTTTTTTAGAACATCTCGAATTCTTTTTGTGCTTGAAAATAGGAGAATTCAAGAAACACAAATCTGTGAAAGGGTCTCCTCTTCTTAGTTTCCTATAGGGGTAAAAAGAGATTTTAAGCATAATTATAAGTATCCCAGTATTATTCTGCAGTATAAAATTATTAAAAAATATGCCAATTCTTGCTTCAGCTATCAAATTTTTACAGTTCAGATTAGACTCATTCTTGAATGATGTCCCGTAACTTCACTCTTCCCACATCTCTCTCTACAAACGAGTTCCCACAGATACTTACGAAGCTAGTGTTGGCTCCTTATAGTTCACGCTGCTCGTGCACCTGCGCTTGGGGAGACACATGGGTGTGCTTTCCTTTCTTGGAGAAAGAGAAAGTCTCCTGGTTTTTCTTTCGGGAAACAAGAGAACATTGGTGATATCCTTCAGGCTACAATTTTGGGATGAAGGTGATGGGCGAGTCTTAGGTGTTGCACCTACAGAAACAATTTTTAGTGAACATGGTTCCAAGAAAAATTCACAGAAATAAAATTCTACTCACATACCTTAAATGTACATAAAATCTGGCATAATACAGATTTTAAAAACCTCTCCACTATTTTTTTCTGTCTCTTTCAGGCCAGGTAGTGTTGAAATATTAATTATGGTAGACACAAGAGCTGATATAATAAGACACTTTATTTTTGTTTTTACTTTAATTTTCTTTTGTTGCAGTACTGGGTACTGAATCCAGGGCCTTCACACTGAATTACATTCTTAGTCCCTTTTTTCCCTCTTTTTAGAATTTTAAGCAAAATCTTGCTGAACTGACCAGGCTGTACTTGAACTGGCAACCTTCCTGCCTTGGTCTCCCAGTGTCGGGATTATAGGTCAGGAAATTTTATTAAGACTTAACATTCTTCTCTGGTAGCTTAGGGGTAATCTGTTCATTTGTTAATTTATTTATTTTATTCATTCATTCATTAATTCTTTTTGAAATAGGGTCTTGCTATGCAGTTCAGGCTGTCTTTGAGCTCACTTTGTAGCCCAGGCTAATCTCAAACTTGCAATGATCCTCCTGCCTCAGCCTCCTGAGTGCTGGGATTACAGGCATGTGCCACCATGCCCGGCTCAGTAATTTAAAATAAAGTATGAAATTTCATTTTAGCTACACCTTGCTACTGAGAATCATGCAGCCCTCTCTATCTCTTATAACACCTTACCTTATGATCAAGTGATTTCCAATAGTCCTTTTTTGTTTGTTTGTTTGTTTTTGAGACAGGGTTTCATTTCGCTATGCAATTCAGGCTGGCCTTGAACTCAGTTTGTAGCCCAGGCTGGCCCCGAACTTGCAGTGATCCTGCCTCAGCCTCCCAAGGGCTGGGATTACAGGAGTGCGCCACCATGCCTAGATCCTATAGTCTTGTAAAGCCACTTAAACTTTTTCTGTTAAATAAACAAGAATTCTAAATCACACCCGCTGTGAAATCCAGGATAAAATGTGTTCCTTCTAGTAAAGCTCATAATGTTAAAAAGTTACCAGTGTTTTTCCTACATAAACATACAAGTTACTTTACTTTGGAGCTACATTTATGCAGTATTGGGAGGTAGGTATCCAACACCGAGCAAGGATGTTCCTGATAGACAGTCTTTTTTTTTTTGTTTTTTTCTGGTACTGGGAACTGAACTCACGACGTTGCGCTTGCCTGGCAGGCGCTGTGCCCCTGAGCTAAACCCCCAGCCCAGACAAACAGTCTTAAATTGCTTTAAAAAGCAAATTGTATCTCAAGAAAAACTGAGTTGTAACTGTGAGATGATTTTATATTAATCATCCATATGCTCCAGGGTTAGCTGGGTTTCAGTCTCTTTTTTGTCACCAGTAGCGTACTGTATGTATTACATTAATTATCCTAATTTTTAGTTTGAAAAATATGTACAAGCAACCTATTAAATCAGTTGCTGTAATGGTTCCAAAACTTTAATGTGTATGAATTCATAGGAGAAACTTGTTAAAAAGATGCGAATTCTTAGCCCGGCATGGTGGCGCATGCCTGTAATCCCAGTAATCCCAGTACTTGAGAGGCTGAGGTAGGACTGCTGGGAGTTTGAGGCTAGCCAGTTCTACATACCAAGTTTAAGGCCAGCCTGAACTACATAGTAAGACCTTGAGTCAAAATGGTAAGCTACCATTGCTGAACTGGTTGACTAGGAAATGTGATTCACTTTTTTGGGCTTTAATTTCCCTATAAATAGTGAACATGATGACTCAGAATTGTTCTGAAGAAGAATGAAATACTATTAATGGACAATATTTTAAGAATGATTTTTTGTTGTTTTTTGATGCCAGGAATCAAACTCAGGACCTTGCACTTGCCAGGCAGGCACTGTGCTGCTGAGCTATATCACTGGCCCCAAGAATGATTTTTAACATGTTTAAAAATGCTAGTTTTATGATAACAACTAAAATTTCCAGATGAGAATCTTTGTGGGCAGGTGCAGGATATTTTACCAACACTGCAACCACACCCATTTTTGATTGAATAAAAGCCAGATTTAATTGTCTTACAAATAAGTGGGCCAGCTGAGCACAAAGTTTCTTGGTCTCAGTGTACCCTCATTAGCTAGACAGTTGTTTTACATCACAGCTCCTGTTAAACATAAAGCAAGCCATTCAAATGCCAAGTCACGGATTCAAGTCTGATTTCATTTTCAGCATAATTTCACAAACACTCCCCCCATCCCACCCCTTCAAGCCCCCCACCCCAAACCTAGGAAGTCTCACTTCCTGAAGATGAAAATGTTATCTCCATGACAAGCAATATTTGTTGCTAAATATTCTAATTTGCTTGAAGTAGGTCAGAGTGACACAAGTGTGATTTGTACTCCCTGCCCCCCACTACCTAGTCAGATTGTAGCTACCCCCAGACACAGATGGTCTCCAACCTCCCCCAGAGAAACAGATGGTGAAGTATAGTATATAAGCTCAGGAGCGATCATTTACCATAAATATTAAAAATGCAGGCAAACAAGATCACTTACTAGGAGGAGTTTTTGTTGGCTTTGAATCCTCCACCTTTTGTTCATCTGCGTGTTCTAGCGCTCTTTTTGATCGAGGCCTGGTGACGGGTCTATCTGATATGCTTGTGCGATTCGGAGTATACTTGCAGTGGGGTACATAGAGATCATCAGAATCGTCTCCAGAACTGCTGGATTCACAGATGCTCACTTCAGACTTACTGCTGATTTCTTCTCTGACAGAATCAGTGTTTGTTTTTTGTCGGAAAGGAGTGAGATGAACGCCCTCTTCCAAATTAAAATTGTAAGCATCAGTGGAACTGACAGATTGATCCAATTTTTGAGAGCACACAGTTTTCTTATTTTTACTTTTGTTCCCTTTATACTTTGATGTAAACTTCAATTTTCTTCTGTTAGCTTTTCTTTTCTCTCTTTTTTTAAGCTGTACCTCTGTATGTTTACTTTTTACTTCAGATTTAGATTCTAAAATGACCTCTTTCATTTTGGTAAATTTTCCTGGTTGAGTCAGCCTTGGTGATAAATTCATTTTGTCTTTGTTCCACTGACAGACATTTTTTTCTTCACTTTTTGATATGTGCATGTTTCCTACTGGGTCTACATACCTGTTTCTTTCCAATTCAAAAGACTGCCCTTCCAAGTGACTGGTTTCAAAATCATCCAAAGTATCAAATTGACTTAGAGTATTAAAATGCTCCTTTATGTGGCGACGGAGTGATACAGTTCTGGGTAAGACATCAGTAGTAGGCTTAGCTTCACCTGAATCAAAAGCAGATCCCACTGTGTCTTGAGAAGTAGAAAGTACTTGCTCTAGGAATTTAAAAAAAAAATAAATGAGAAACAGTTTTACTTTTTGGAATGTCATTTTCAAGAATCTTTGAATCTTAGGATTCAAAGTTGCATAAACATCATTCTATAATGTATCTACTGTCATTTTAAATAAATAATAATCTGGAAGACTTGCCATCTATTTATCTGTCAGTAATCAACTGATGGTTATATTTAACTTGTCTAAGAATTTTAAAAAATCTTTAAAAATATTTCAGTATAGGTTTTATGTGCTCCTTGTTCAAAGGTTTGAAGAAAAATGATTACTTTGAGCATAGAGTCAGAGGAACAGAACTTCAGGTTCCAAAGTAGGACAAACACATGAACGGGGGTGCTAAATTGTTCTTTGAAAAATTAGTAAAATTTGGATAACTGAAAGGCTTTTCAGGTAAGAAGTATAATGTACTTATAGGAAAAGTGGGCTCTTCATGTACGTTTGCTTATGCCAGTACTGCCCTTCTTCAAAGCAGATATTTGAAAACCGACACACCTATTTAAAAATAGCAAGAATGGCATGGAGTTCAGATTTGAGTTTAAATCCTCTTTCTTACCATCTGGATTATTTCTTGCAATGTTTTACTTCTGTGAGTCTATATAAAATGAAACTGGTTATACGTATGTTTGCAGGTCATTGTGAGAATTAAATGAGACAATGTATATAAAATGCCTAACACAGAGGTTTACACATAGTAAGGCTTAGTAAATTATAGCCATATAGTCAGGATTTCTGGTTACAGATTTGGCATGATGGATGGATGTAATTTAAATTGATATTATTTTCACTTATATTACTATTATGTAAAATAAACTGATTTGCCTTGAGAATAGCAGATGAACACATTTACAAAGTTAAAATCAAAGCAGAATTAGAGAAGTCCAGTTATGTTTACTTTTCTCCAAGTATATTTTCAGATTTTTACTTGAATTACCTTCTGTTTGGAGTGATTCTCCATGTCCTGGAAGGCCAGTTTCTTGAAGAGGATCTTGCCTTAGAAAATGCCAATGAAAAACAGAAATATACTTATAAATTATATTAAAAAAAATGAAAATTTTCCTAAATTTTAAGTATCAGTATCATTTAGTATCATTTCATAATCCTTTAGTATCATTTCATAATCCCATTCCAACTCAATACATCTGTTTTGTATAAAAGGAAACAAGAAATACTTATGGTAACTACATGAAGGCTGATTTGTTATGACTGACATTCAACTCCCACTAATATCAAGTCACACAGTTCTGCCTGAAAATATGGCATGATTCAATTTCATTTAACTGGAGAAAGAGCCAACCCAAATTGGTTTAGTCTTTAAACATGCAGTCTTGTTGCTAAAGTCTTTTTTTTTTTGGTCTTTTTGAGACACGGTCTCACTATGCAGTTCAGGCTAGTCTTGAACTCACTTTGTAGCACAGGCTGGCCTTGAATTCACAACATTCCTCCTGCCTCAGCCTCCAGGGTACTAGAATTATAGGTGTGCGCCACCACGCCCAGCTGGTTGCTCAAGTCTTTAGAGCTAGCTTGCTTTGTCATTAGCAGAGCTGTGATTTGTCAGTAACATATGGTACCGACCATGGAACTCTTCTGAGGTTCTTAAACACAGTTGTTCTCTGGTTCATGAGACAAGAACTTTTCTTTATTCTCAAAACCTATTACTGGCAATTCATCCCAATTGGAGTTTTATGCTTTATTCTGTATACAGAATTTTCTGCTCTAGATGTCAAAAATTAAATATATGTTTAGGCAACACAGAGCTGCAGTAACTAATAATTACTTTAGAAATCTTATGAAAACTTGATTTCTGCCTTGCTTTTTGTTCATAATATATTTTGCCAGGTCTTCAATTGTAAGTTTAAAAGCTATTAATGATGAAAAGAAAACATATTTTTTGTTACATGAGTGAACAGAGGATAGATTTGCATGGGATGCCAGGGAATTGCCTATGGCCATAGTTCTTACCTGGGGGTAACTATCCTTTCCAGGGATTTGGTAATACTTGAAGTCATTTTGCTTCTCAGAACTGGGGAGGGGGATATTACTGGCAACGAATGGGTAGAGGTAAAAAAATGGTCCAAAACCCCACAATGGATGGACAAATAATCACTTGGCTCACAATGCCCAAGGTACGAAGACTGGGAAGCCCTGAGCTAGGATGAGGGCAGAGCACTGTGTCTTTACTATGTCTTCGGTTTTATGGGTGTATGTCTTAGTCAGACTCACCGAAATGTGTACTTAAGATCTGTGATTAAATCTCTAATTCACAAGCAAACATAATGTGTACTGGATCCAAAAGAAGATGGTATGTGGAGTAAGGTAAGAAATTCACAGGTAAGAAATTGCATCAGTGTGTGCCAGGTGTGTGAAATACATATTCTTTTTCCCTAAACCAGATTATATATTCTCAGTAGAGAGAGAGAGACCATCTGACTCCAAATGTGAGAGTCAGTATGACTAAATTTCCTTTCACAAATGGACCAGAGACTTAAATCAATCTTAGTATTAATAATCATAGTAATGAATTGAATACTAACGGTAAATCCTTTGCAAATAAGTCCCTGGGGTTGTCATCATTATTGGAGTCCATTCCTGAGACACATACTTCCTGGTTCTGTTAATGCATTAAAATAGAAGAAAACACTGTTTCAACTGAAGTATTTACGACAAAGCATTCATTTATTCAACAATACACACCTACTGACTGTCTATTATAGTGCCATGCCGTTTTAGGAACCGGAATTTGAACAACTAAAAGATAAAATCCTATCCTCTTGAAACTTACATCCTAGTGTAGGGAGAGAAAATTAAAAAGAAAACAGATATATAAATTTTAGATAGCTGTATGTGCTATGAATGAAATACCAGAGTGAAATAACAGAGAATAAACAGGTTAGAAGACTTTTTTCCTAAAAGATTGTATTTGACCTGAAGACTGCAAAGTAATCAGCCACTGAAAAAGTACAAGGAAGAAGAAGCAGTAGAAACAGCAAATAAAAATGCCACAGGCAAACTTCGTTGTCTTTCCAGACAGAAAGGTTGATGTGACTAGAACACGGTCACTGGCACTAGTAGGAGATGTACACTCAGAGGTCAGATAATGGGGGGCCTTGAGAGCCGCAAGTGTGGAATTTAATCTCAGTGTGATGGGAAGGCACAAATACTAAGCAGGAAAATCAAATGAAAAGATGGAAAAAGATCAGTTTGGCTGCTGTGTGAAACATGGGATGAAAGGAACCAAGGGAGCTGGATGAGGCGGTACACACCTGTAATTCCAGCACCCAGGAGGCTGAGGCAGGAGGAATGCTGCAAGTCCAGGGCTGGCCAGGGGTACACAGTGAGTTCAAGACCAGCCTGAACTACACAGTGAGACCCGGTCTCAAAAGAACAAAAACAAAAAAGGAGCCAGCGAGTTAAAAAATCCTCAGAGAAATCAAGCAAGACATGATGTGGCGGTGAGGCCCACTGGAAGGCCCCGAGACAATGAATAGTGAACAAGAACTCAATAGCGATAGAAGTGAGGACAACAAAGGGGAAGGAAGCTTCTTACGGTTTTGGCTTAAGCAGGTGAGTGCATCCCTTTATGAGTAAGAATTACAGAGGGAGTGCAAGTATACAATGTTTGGGACAGGAAAAAACAGTTATGGATTATATGAAGTTTGAGATCCTCCATAAGTGCCGAAGTGGAGATACTAAGTAGTAGCTAAGCAGAGAAGACTAAGATTGAACAGTCAGGAGGTTGAAAGGAAACTAGGGAAGTAGTTTTGGTTTTTTTTTTAATCTTTTTGAGACAGGGTCTCACTATGCAGTTCAGGCTGGCCTTCAGCTCACTTTGTATCCCAGGATAGTCTGGAACTCGCAACAATCCTCCTGCCTCAGCCTCCCGAGTGCTGGCATTACAGGCATGCGCCACCACGCCTGGCTAAAACCAGGTAAGTATGATGTCAAGAGAATGAAGGGATTAAAGTGTACAAATGCACAGTCGTCTCTGCTGTATGTTACTGCGAGGGTGAGAAGTAGGAGTGACCACTGACTTTGGTAATGAGGTTTCGGTAACCTTGATACACAGTAACAACAGGATGGTAGGGACAGAAGCAGGGTAAGAATGGATGTGTTATATACATGTACCACTCCTTACATGGAATATCATCACTATGTACTGCAAACTAAGTAATAAATAATAAAAATATGATTACGGGCTTTTTTTGAGACAGGGTCTAGCTATGTGTTCCAGGTTGGTCTTGAACTGACTTGTAGTCCAGGCTGGCTTCAAACTTTCAGTGACCCTCCTGTGTCAGCCTCCCAACAATGACAGGGTCTCACTATGTAGTTCAGGCTGGCCTTGAACTCACTGTGTAGCCCAGGCTGGCCTTGAACTTGCAGTGATTCTCTTGTCTCAGCCTCCAGAGTCCTGGGATTACAGGTGTTCACCACTCCACCCAGCCCTAAAAAATTATTTAGTAAGAAAGGAATGGTTTGAAAGCTGCATGTGGTGGCACATGCCTCTAAATCCAGCACTCTAGGAGGCTGAAGCAGGAGGATTGTAAATTAGATCCCAGCCTAGGCAATTTAGTGACATATGGACTGTACTGGACTGGACCGGACCGGACTGGACTGGAAAGGACCAGACCAAACTAAACCAAACGAAACCACACAAAAGCTGGGGTATAGGTTAGTGCAAAGGCCCTGAGTTTAACCCCTGGTACTGCCACCACCACAAAAATTTGAAACGTGAATAGAAACTGGAGAAATGAAGATAGTGACTACACTGTTATTTTTGGGAGGGTTCTGCTGTGAAGAAAAGCAGAGACATGAGACAGATGCTGTATGGGACAAGGAGAGGCTTCATTTATTTGCTTTTCCTTTTAAGCAACAGATACCAAAGCACATTTATATGATGGCCAGATGATGCAGTAGAGAGGCACAGGGAGAACAAATTTCTAGGAATGAAATTCTGAAGGTGAGGGAAGGGAATCTGACACACATGGAGGGAGGCTCTTCAGAGGAGCAGATAGTTCTGCCACTGTAACAAGAAGGGACACGGGGAGCACAGGAATAGACAGAAGGAGAAAACAAAAGTAAGGAATAGACAGAAGGAGATTTGTAGCTCTGTGTCAGAGATAAGAGTTCCCGTCTAATTCAGAAGATCATGCTAATTTAACTTGTGATTTTTGAAATCTGATGAACTTACAATATATTGACTTTATAACGAATAGGCTAAAACTTTATCAGAAATAAAATAACTGGAAAATCTTTCTTTGGAGAGGGGCCTGTCCAGTGAGCAATATCCCCAGCTCTTTTTTATTTTTAAAAAATAAAGTCTTGCTAAATCATTAAGCTACCCAATCTGGGCTTTAAGCTGGAATCTTCCTGCCTTAGCCTTCCAGAGTGCTGGGATTACAGGCCTGAGTCACCATGCCCAGCTGGAAATTAATTCTCTAAAACTTTTCAATTTGACATCAAACAGCATTATTATGCAAGGTAAATACAGGAGAAAAGAATACTGAACTATACTATAACATTATTAGAAAGACCCACTTTAGCTTTTCTATCACATTAAAGTTGACTTAAACATTGAAACACAAGTGTGAAATGATGGTTGAAAATGAGAAATACATATAATAAGCATATGACAGAAAATAAACTTTGATGTTTCAAATGCCAAGACTGCACGTGCTCAGCAACAAACACATTTTCATAAATACTAAAAAAAAAAAAAAAGATAAATTTTAAAGGGCCTGCAGTACTAGGATCCCTCCTACCACCGTTTTGTAATTTTTTTGAGTATTCATTTCATACTGCTGTGTGTTTTAGCAAAAGTTTGGAAGGGAGGAGGAAGTCTGATATGCCTTTGGAGGGCTTTTCCTCCTACTAAGACTGGACAAGGAAATGAAAAAACTAAAAAAGATTATATTCAGAAGAAATAAAAAAAAAATCTAAGTTATGCAAAAGTGCAGAAATCATAGCTAATCTTCATAAAGGCAATTCAACTATATATGTACATACTACATGTATATTACACATGTGTCTTTATCACATGTAGTTGAAATGAAGAATCATTTTTAGTTACAAGGAAGGAAGAACTCTTTCTCACTTCCGCTGTCAATACAGCAGTGACTTCAATTCCTCTCTCATGGCCCCTGATGGGGATGTGCCATCCCCATCACTATAGTTTGGCTTTTTTATCTGACCTTCTGGCCTAAATGCCAGTGTACGCTCTTCACTGGCACAGCAAATGGATGGCCACTTGGGAGAAAGCAAACTGCCCTACTAACACTGGCGCTCTCCACGCTGTCCTCCATCCAATTTCCCTGGCAGCAGCTTCTGAGCAGAGGGAAGAGGAACAGGCGCATCGGCACTCTTCTCAGACTTCTCACGGTGAAACAAAAGAATGTCCTAGGACAAACTTTGCCCACGTCTGTCATATTTTGGCTGGCAAGGCCGCATTTACACCCCTGCTTATGACCTTCGTGCAAACAAAATCAGATGAAAAATGTGGTCAGCCAAATGTTGTCTGAGGTATATACTCTTTCTTATTTAGCCAACTAGGTTAAAAACGATTCTCTGAAAGCACTTAGTTACTCCCTAAGGCCAAATGAAGGTATTTCTCATAAAATCTTACTGGATATAGCAAAACTACATAGATAATTTGTTTTATTTTAAGGAGAATAAAAAAATAATGACAACATAGACAAAAACAAAACAATACAAACATAATAAAAATGATACAGGGTTTCAAAACAAAATGATAGGAATTAACAGTGGTTGTTATATTACATATTGTTATCTTCAATGAAGTTCCTCAGATTACCAGATGTAAGAATGGAAGATTGATCAAATCATTAAGGAGAATAAAAACATAAAAGAAAATATTAGACACAATATAGAACTTCACTAGACATGATGGTAGGAATTGACCAATGGTTGTGATATTGCATATTGTTGTCTTCAAATTAGTTGTTCAGATTACCAGATATAAGAATATCAAATTGGTCAAAAAAAATGTAAGCATTAATTGTTCCTTTTAATAAGCCAATAGACATCAGCAGTAAAATTATCCCAGCTATCCTTCTATATACATATATATACACACACACAGACACACACGTATTTTTCCTTCTTTTTCTCCTTTCCCTCATCCCAGTTGTTCCTTCCCTAGGAAAGATAAATTTAACATGGCAGTGATTTAAAGTTCTGGACTAGTTTACCTCAGCAAACACTTTCAGACTGTTATCTTAGTTGTCCTACCTCTGACTCATGTAATTAAGCATTCAAAACACGACTAGCAGTGCAAAAGGCTAAACCATTTTTTCTGCATGTTGTCCTGCTACCTGCTTTCAAACCCAAGTAAAAGCAGTAATAATCTTTGTTTATCTATATGCTTGAAGCTTTCTTAACTGGTCATATAAAATACCTGTGCGAGAGCCAGGAGGATATTTTAATCAAGTCAGTAATAACAGAGTTGTCCACAATTAATTTAACTTATAAATTGATCTAAGCTTTTCATTCACTGATTAAATCTCTCCCCTAAGAAATTCAGCCTTTGTAATAAAAATACCTGAGCAGTATCTTCTGTTTGTTGTGAAGTAAGTTTTTCTTTCAGTGCATACAGCTGACATGTAAGGTAGTAACATTCTTTTCTTAGCTGTAGGATGATATCCTGGGCTTCTCTTACTTTGGATTTTTCATTTTCCAAAGCTAAAACTAGCATTCTGTTGTTATCTTGGTAATTTTTCAGCAGTGCACCAGTGTTGGCTAAAAGGGGATAAAATAAATTTATCAGGTACTGAATCTAAACTTAGTAAGTGATGTAAAAGGACAACATAAACAGCTCTTACTAATAACTTGGCATGGTGCAGGTATAAAGGATCTGCGTTTGCCAATCTCTGCCAAGTTTTTATTCCTTTTCTCTTTCATTCGCTTCTTTATGTCTTCAAGACTATCTTGAAAGGACTTTTTCTGGCACCTTTCCTTGGCCATCTTCTGCCTACAAATTGAAAACAACAGAAAATACTTTTCTCAGAGATAATATTAAATATAAATTAAAAATTGAAAACGTAAGTTGTTCGTAAGGAATTAAGTAGTAACTTAACTGGAATTAACTCAAAGTAGTCTGCTAACTAACCTGGTGATACTTTTGATTTTGCAGCTCTAAAATCTCAATATCTGGGCACTGTGCTGTGCACCTGTAATCCCCGCTACTCAGGAGGCTGAGGCAGGGCAATCATGAGGTTGAGGTCAGCCTGGGCAACACAATGAACCCCTCTCAAAAAACAAAAAACAAAACAGATGTCAGAATCACTCATGTCTATAGCACAATGCCTCTTTTGAAAAATCCAAAGCTGTAAAATCTCCTTAATATTTTTGACATGTAACTCTCAGCCACTCATAGGGAAATATTATTGAATATGATCTCCAACCCATACAGTCCATAATATGTCACTAATTCTTTAACAGACACTCATTGAAGACTTATATTCTACACCAATGATGGTAAGCCTTTTAGAGCTTTCAATGATAAAAAAACAGCTTGCTGTGGCAGGTGTGCCATAAGTTCACCACCGCTGTCTAGACATTACGAGAAATGTTTATTTTTATTTATTTTGGTAGTACTGAGAATTAAACCCAGGGTCTCATGAATGCTAGGCAAGTGCTCTACCACTGAGGTGCATCCCCAGCCCTTTTAAATTTTTTTCTTATTTTGAAAAGGGATCTTGCTATGTTGTCCCGGCTGACCTGAACTTGAGGGCTCAAGCAATTCTCCAGTCTTAGTGTCCCATAGTTGGGACCACAGGCATGTACCACCACACCCAGTTTATTATTTTGATGCCATTATTATTTATGCTTTTTATGATGTTCATGGCAAACTTTTAGTGCATGAGATTATAGTATTCATTCAGAGGCATTATACATATTTGAGTTTTATTTTTCAGACTTTTTTTTTTTTTTTTTTGGTTTTTGTTCTTCTCCGGTACCGGGAACCGAACTCATGACCTTGCGCTTGCCAGGCAGGCGCTTTGCCACTGAGCTAAATCCCCAGCCCCTATTTTTCAGCTTTTTAAAAATTATTAATTTACTGGATTAGGTCACTCAACCAATAGTCTCTCTTCTATACTTTTCACCCAGTATCACTTAAGATGGGTACAAATATTCAAGAAAGCCAACGTAAGGTTTAACTGCGTAGCACTATGTACCACTTTAATAGGCTACAACAATAATAGAGGTGGACAAAACAGGAACTGGAGCAGAGAAACATGTTAGTAATCTCAGTTATTGCTAAATCTAAACTTTGCTAATTTTCAGCAAGTTATGCACATAGTAGTAAATGGGATATTAAATAAAGATGACAGTTAAAAGTAGCGAAACATGTACTGACAACATTTGCTCCTGAGTATGTTAAAACACATGTATTAAGTATTTTATTTTTTATTTTTTATTTTTTATTTATTTATTTTTTTTTTTGGTTTTTCTCCGGTACCGGGAACCGAACTCACGACCTTGCGCTTGCCAGGCAGGCGCTTGTATTAAGTATTTTAAATCTTTCAGCGCTACAAATCAGGTATGTTTCAGCATGATAGTAATAGTAAGCATGAACATTTTTTGTTGTTATGTGGTACTCGGAATTGAACTCAAGGCCTTTGCATTGAGCTACAACCCTGGACTTTTTAAAAAATTTTTATTTTGAGATAGAGTTGATAACTTGCTCAAGCTGGGCTCAAGCTTGCAATATTTCTGCCACAGCTTCTGAGAATGCTGGGATGGATTATAGGTAAGTACCACTACATCCTGTTTTCATGAACAATTTTCTTACAGTGTGTAGTGCACTTTGCAGATCTTAAAATTGTTTTAAAAAAGCTTCTTATAATAATTTATGTATAGGGCCAGGGATATAGCTCAGCGGCACAGCACCTGCCTGCAAGTGCTAGGTCCTGAGTTTGATTTGCGGTACCAAAACAAAAACAAAAACAAAAAAACAATCTATGTCTACAACTTTCAGTATAAAGGATATCTTCATTTCCTCTGAGTCAAGTATTTTCTTAAACCTTATGTATTTTCTACAGGGCTCTCAGCCTTAGATATTGTAAATCAATTTAAGTATTTTATTTCTATGAATGTACATACAATACATTGGGATGCTTCCAGTAGAAGTGGTACAATTTTTTCAAAAAAACTAGAGGCTGGGGTTATAGATCACTGGCATAAGTGCCTGCCTGGCAAGTGCAAGGTCCTGAGTTCGATTCAAGGTACCAAAAAAAAAACCGGTAATAGTAGGTGGGTTGTATAAAATAACTTACTACATTGAAGTTTTTGAAGTTTGAACTGAAGATGTTTGAAAGCCAGGCATGCCTGTAATCCCAGCACTTGGAAGGCCGCAGGAGGATCGCTGCGAGTTCGAGGTTAGTCTGGGCTACATAGTTAAGTTCAAGGCCTGCCTGCAGTACATAGCAAGACCGTTTCAAAAAAAAAAAAAAACATCAAAAATGAAACAACCATTGGATTTTCCATTGTGGAATGGGGGTGGTGGTGAACCATGTGTAATATCAGATCTGTTTGGTTTTGAAGTATTTTATGTTTTGGTTCAGGGATGTTGTGTTTTTGCCTGAGTACTACTAGCTCAAACCTCTCTACTA